GTTTGGGGTTTTGGGATCATGGTTTGGGGTCTAGGGCACAAGCCTACATGAAACTTACACTCACTTTGTTCACTTTGGTCATGAACCGAGTCCTCAAGAAACATACACGCCCGAAAGCCAAGAAGCAACACCCTGCACCCTCAACCCTGACCCCAGAAGCCGTGTCACACATAGACCCAGAACCCCAAACGGCCCAAACCCTAAACCCTTAACCCCAAACCCTAAACCCTTCTTCACACCTTGCACCTAAGAACTCGGCTTGCTGAGGCTTTCAGACAGTTTGAGCGGGCATGGAAGCTGGCAATGCCATACTGCGAGTATGAGTGCCTAACCTTGTATGTGAGTAGTAGGGTTTCGGGTTAAGGGGTATATGAGTAGTTCTCTAAATCAGGGTCCCTTGTAGGGTTCCTTAGAGGGAACTATAAGGGTTCTTATGGGGTCTCACAAGGATACTAATAAGGGTAGCTCTCTAAATCAGGGTCACTCTTTCAGGTCCCAACTGTTGTACAGCACCCGTATAAAAACGACCGTAAAGGGGACCCTCAGTTAGAGATCTACCCATACCTTCTATCAAGGTACTGCAATGTTTCATAGGATTCCACAGTGGATGATGCTCAGGAGAGTCGATTCTGGGTTGTAGGGTTAGTGTTTAGGTGTAGGGTTTTGGTCGAGTTTAGTTCTTGGGGTCTCTGGGTTTAGTTCAGGGTTTCGTCAACCCTGAACCCTAAACCCTAAATCCTAAACCCTAGACCCTAAATCCTAAACCCTAAACCCAAAACCGTAATGTGAGTTTTGTCTTTAGGGGCTGATTTGAGGGTTTCAGGGTTTCGGGGTCTGGCTTAGTAGGGGGGTCAGGAGCTCAAGGGACTTTGGGTTTAGGATTTAGGGTTTAGGGTTGTGGGTGTCCTACCTATAACCTTACTTACTGGGTCCCATTTGACTTCAAGTACCTGAGTAGTCTCCTACAACTTTCGTTAATGTTCGACCCGACCGGTAAAGTGCCCGGGCCTACGCAGACTTGCTCAGTCCAACTTGCGAAAGACTCTGAACCCTGCAAAGACAACTCCTGCCGGCCCAAGTGCGCAGGGTTTGGGGCCTAGGGTTCCCAAACAGTAAGGTTTAGGGTTTAAGGTACTTTGAAATAAAGTTTCACAAGCGGTATCTGTTGGGGTTCCACACCCACAGGATTCTACTGGGCGTTTGCGGGATCTAAGGCAGCCCTTCGGAGTAATTATGCTTTTTGCTGCCCCTAAACTGGCCCTAAACCCCAAGCCCTAAGCCCTGAACCCTAAAACCTAAACCCTACACCCTAAACCCTAAAACCTAAACCCTAAACCCCAGTCTCCGAACTGCCACAGCTCGTGGCACGGAATTGGGCGCCTCGAAACATGGGGCAACAGCCTGCGACTCCTTCGAAGCCCCGAGCCTCACGACTCCGCGAAAGGGTACGGAAGAAGCCGATGCATGAGAAGCCTGCAAGTGGACGAGCCTTTTGGTTTAGGGTTTAGGGTTGAGGGTTTAGGGTTTAGGGTGGACGAGCCTTCTCGAAAGAAGCGCGTGCGACACCAAGCCTAAAGAGCCTTTCAACAACTACTGTCATCGATGGTCCCGAAGGAGCCGAACCACCCACCACCGGGATGGCTGCAGCCTCGGCACTCCACACACACACACGCAGACTGATACAACCCGACGTCTCGCAAGGAAACCATGACAACTTCGAGAACTTCGGGTTTGGAAAAGAGTTTAGGTTTTTGACTGGGAGGGAGAGCAGACAGGACCGAAGCTTACGACAAGATTGTCAACGAGCTACTGTAGAAGGTACCGCACAAGGAGCCCGCGAGATCCGAACGATTTCGAAGCCGTGTCCGTTGGTCGTGATTCCATCCGATGACTTAGTTCTCCAATACCCAACCTTTAAACTTTTTGGGCTCTTATGGTTTAGTAGCAATCTGAAAGTTTAACCTTTCAATTTCTGGCTTATTAGGGAAGCAAGGTGATTCTGGTCGAATCTACCCAGGCCCTTATACCCTATACCCTGAACCCCAAGTCCCGAAACCCCAAGACCCAGTTCCAGTCCCACTCGGCCCGTTGGCTGAGTGCCGAAGCCTGAAATCCTGGTATCGGATAGTGACGGTTTAGGGTTTAGGGTATCGGAACCGTGCTTCAGATTTCTGGGACTTCAGAGGTTCAATGTAGAAGCCTGAAATAGATACCCGTGGTTTAGGGTTTAGGGTTTAGGGTTTTTGGGTTCCTTATTGTAGTTTTTCATAGTCGAGCCCAAAACCTTTTTCTTATTGTTAAGCCCCTGTAACTAGGGAGACAGGTTGGGGGGTTTCTAAAACCACAAAGCCGGAGTCCAAGAGAGGGTTTAGGGTTTAGGGTTTAGGGTTTAGGCTCTATGAGATCCGCAGAACTCTCTTCCTTGTGGTTTAGGGGCTTGCTGTGCCTCGCTAGGAACCCTAAGTCTCGATCCTAAACCCTACATGCTAAGCCCTAAACCTGAAGCCCTACACCCTAAGCCCAAAACCGTACAGACCCTAGACCCTGAACCCTGGGTCTCGACCATGCTCCACTCTCGGCCCTACCTTAACCCACCAAGCTCTACTTTTTGTAGGGCCCCTGCAAATCCAATATTGATTAGGGCTGAAAATGAGAGCCTAAGAAAAGTAGGTTTTGGTAGTTTGAGGTATAGATCCTGAACTCCAATCCCAAGGTCTCTCCATCTTTGCTGGGTTTGCTGCTCAGGTGGGTAGTTCTCTAAATTAGGGTCCCTTTTTAGGGTTCCTTAGAGGGATCTATAAGGGTTTCCTTAGGGTTTCCAAAAGGGTACTCATAATGGTAGTTCTCTAAGTTAGGGTCTTTCATGAAGTCCCCCAAATGTTACGGCACCCGTGCGAAAAGGACCCTAAAAGCGATCCTCGTTCTCAAAACTACCCAGGTGCCTGCAGATCACCGAGCAGATGCGCGCCAAGAGAATCTCTCAAGATGCCACTCGGTTCATGGGGTTGCAGCTCCTAGACCATGAACTCTATACTGCCGTTTAGTACCCTTATAGAACTCTTAAAGGAACTTTTTCGTATTACATGGCAGCCTTGTACTATAAGGTTACGTAGGCGCTTGAAGTGTCGAAATGGTTGGGTGGGGCTCTTGTACTATAAGGTTACGTAGGCGCTTGAAGTGTCGAAATGGTTGGGTGGGGCTGGCCTCACAGGCTCTTGCAGCAACGTGATCCGAAAGCAACCAAAAACACGTTCGCCCCTGGGTGCTTGGGATATGCTCCAAGTTACATATGCGAAGGATGACGGAGTACAGTCCTCAACACGCTGAAGGATGTGCGAGTCAGCGCTGACATTGCAAACAGCACACAAGGCAAGGGCGCCTTCTTGTTATGAATGCTACGGCAGTGCTGATTGCCAGGCACCCAAGCACAAGCCCGCGACTGTGAAATCGAAGGTGCTTTCTAAGGTGCTTTCTTGTGATTCGATCGAACCGGTCGAGTCCCAAGGCTTGTGAGGAAACTTCACCTCTGAAGATCGTAAGTGCAGAGTTGATTTGCTATGCAGTCCGATTGAAGCTGACAAGCAGCGGAAGCCGTCTGATGATGGTGGCGACAGCATCAGATCGGCACAGTGGTAGTGCTTTGGGCAGCGCCCACTGAGATCATCGGGATCTGTGACGGTGAGATGGCTAACCGAGTTTTGGATGATGATGACGACCATGTTGCCCGAGGCGGCTGTGGGGCCGGCGACCCTCATAGAACTCTTCAAGGAACCTTCTTAAAGGAACCGCTTATAGCAGTAGCCGTAAAGTTGGAAATTGCAATCCTCGTGAAGGGATCCTAGCTCTTATCATCCTAAACCCGTGTTCCAACTTTCTGGTGCCCTAAACCCTAAACCCCAAACCCTAAACCCTAAACCCTAAACCCCAAACCCTAAACCCTAAACCCTAAACCCCAAACCCTAAACCCTAAACCCTAAACCTTGCCCGTACTGGAACCCTTTAAAGGGCCACTCGGTCGGTTGATGCAGCAGCTCCTAGCCCCCAGCTCAATGGGGCTCCTTTGGGGTTGGGGGTTTAAAGGTGAGGGTTTACGGTTTAGGGTTTAGGGTTAGGGTTTAGTATAGAATTTACGGTTGAGGGTTTAGGCTTGAGGGTTTCGGGCTTCAAGTATACAAATAGTAGCACCTGCTTTGAGCTATTTAAAGCCCCAGGTTTTGGGTCTAATGCTTAGTGGTTAAGTACGGCTTAGGGCTTAAAGTTATAGACTCTACACTGCCTAAGCCTCTGGACTCTCATTAACCGTTCAGGGTTTCGGGCGTTTCAGGGGCCTGCCAGAAAGATTTCAAGTCATCCTAGGAACTCAACATCGGCCTGACGTTTTGACTCGAGTCAGAAAATGTTGCTTTGGCATTCAGAAACAAGTCATCCGAAAACAAGCTGGGATTCGTGCGTTTCGTTTCGGGTTTAAGTATCCGAAATGGTGTAGATGGTGCATCAGATAAGTTCCTTAAGCAAACGACCCGTCACTCGTCACCGGCCTTTTCAGCCTCTTGTTCACCCGGTTGTTGAGTAGAGTTCTTTCTCGGACGTCCGCTCAACCATAGCAACCCAATATGAAAGTGGGTAGTTCTCTAAATTAGGGCCCCTTTTGTCTCCCGAAACTAGTACGGCATAAAAAGGACCCTAAAGGGGACCCTAATTTAGAGAACTACCCAAGTGACGGGGCTTCCAAGCCTCGGGACGCGGGTTTCGGGCCTCCCTGCTCGTAGCAACCTTATGACTGTTATACATTGCACCGCAACCTTGCACATGCCGGAATACAACAAATACCACAATCACAAAACCTAAACCCCTAAACCCTAAACCCTAAACCCTAAAACCCCTAAACCCTAAACTCCGGGCCCGACACCCTGAACCTTTGCATTCCCCAGGCCCGAAACCAAAAACAGAGGGCACTCCCCAAACGTAGCTGAACAGTGCACACGATCTCGTCTGACCAGGATACGATCCTCATGTGCATTCCCGATTCAAAGGACAGTTGATCAAGCTGGGCCGTGGATGTGGGGGTTCATTGAGGGTTCAGGGTTTCGGGTTCAGGCTTCAGGGCTTAGGCTTTGGGGTTGATGTTCATGGGCTGGGGCTGAGTAGTAAGTCTTGAAAGATTGCGGGGGGTGCCGCTTCGGATGTCGGGGTTGGGGCTTGGTGATTCAGTGCCAATATAGGGGCCTAAATTATTACGTATACTAGTTTGGGGGTTCCTTACTATGATGAACTTTAGTAGAATATACACCAAGACTCTGTTCTAATTATGAAGGCCCCTACACAATACATCCCTAATAGAGCCCTTATTATAGATCCATTCAAATGGGTCCTTTTGAGGAGCCGTATTCTATTTAAGAAGGCCCCTACAGTAGCTAAGACGACTCCCTGGTCGCCCTTCTCGCGGAGCAGGGTGATGAGGACGCGATCGATGTGACAGAGTTCGAGGAACAGATCATTGAGGCTGTTCAGGATAGCAGCTTGGCTCCGGTCTTCTCCGTCTACCAGGAAGCTCGACAACGACTCCCTGAGAAAGCCAAGGCGAGAGGCTTTTGGCCAAAGGGTCGGGGAAAAGGCTCAAAAGGGAAGACTGGCCGCAAAGGCAGTGGCAAAGGTGGTGCACGCCACAGAACTTTGGCAGACCGAATCGCCAACAGCACCTGCCGGATTTGCGGAATGGCCGGGCACTGGAAGAGAGAGTGCCCTCAGCGAGAAACCCTAAACCCTAAACCCTAAACCCTAAACCCTAAACCCTAAAACCCTAAACCGCAACTTCCTCTGGACAGGCGGAAGAGTTTGGGCTAGGCAGTGTTGAACATGGAGGCCGAGGCCTTAATAATCAGAATAGCGGGTATATTATATTTTAATGATATATAAGGAACCCCGCAAAACCCTATTCTAGTTATTAAGGCCCCTAGATTAGTGTCTTGGGCCTTGGGTCAATGCGTGAAATCTCGTGGTTGGGAAGTGATTGGAGGACCCTACTTGGAGGTTCATGGGTAATTATCAGTGGGGTTATAAGTAGGGTAACTATAGTTATAACCCGAATTCGGGGATTTATAACCCTACTTATAACTACCCATGAACCTCCAAGTAAGCCCCTAAACCACTAAAACCCCAAGCCCTAAACACACGTGGGGCTTATGCAGGGCTGCCCCGGTCATGGCTATGTCAGTACCGTTGATCTTAGTGGCACTTACTTGCTAAGTCCAGCTTGTGATGCTTAGAGCTTGTAAGAGTTTAGGGTTTAGGGATTTGGGTTTATGGTTTTACACAAACTGAGATTCCATCCAGTCTAGGGCCCTAAACCCTAAGCCCTAAACCCTAAACCGTTCCAGGGCTAATGTTTTTTGCTGTAATTGGTTGAGGGTTTGCAGCTCCGAGATGAGAATTGGTTGTTGTGGAGCGTGTGTTAACGTGAAATCTGAAAGCCCAAAATTGGGAACGGGATTAGGATGAAAAGCACTGCAACCCTAAACTCTAAACCCTAAGCCCTAAAGTCTAAACCCTAAACCCTAAACCCTAAACCCTAAACCCTAAACCTTAACAACACGAAACATCCGCGAACCCGTCGCAATCGCAGCGACCTGGGGTCCGGGCCGAATTTCGGCAACGAAGCCATTGGAATGGCTTAGAGTTTAGGGTTTATGGTTTAGGGTTTAGGGTTTAGGGTTTAGGGTTTAGGGTACGAATCGTAGCTAGACTTACCTGTAGCCGAAAAACCTACCTTGTTTGGGTTCCTGATTCTGGTTTCTACATAGAACTCCTTCAAAAAAGGCATGTAGGTTTTTGGGGGGGCCACAGGTAAGGCCGAACTTGCAAGAGGTTTTGGAACCAACGGTACTATTTTTTCTACATGGCTGTGCTACCTCAACTTAGGGAGCCCCAGAACTGCTAAATCCTGGCCGGGTTTAGGGTTTAGGGTTGCGGGGTTTAGGGTTTAGGATACACCCTTGGCTACTCGAAACCCTAAACCCTAAACCCTAAACCCTAAACCCTAAACCCTAAACCCTAAACCCTAAACCCTAAACCCTAAACCCTAAACCCCTAAACCATAAACCCTAAACCCTAAACCCCTAAACCCTAATCCAGAATCGGCGGCTTCTGCTCTCAATGTTGCTCCCACTCCAAGTCTGGAAATGGTTTGTGTTCTGGAACCCCCAAAACACCTAGCAATTTAACGGACGTTTAGGGTTTAGGGTTTAGGGTTTAGGGCTTTAGGGTTTTAGGGTTTAGGGTTTAGGGTTTAGGGTTTAGGTATATCAAGAAGTCATAGTAAGGAGCCTTAACAGGGCTAAACCCTAAGCCCCTAAACCCTAAACCCTAAAGGGCTAGGTTACTTACAGTAGAGGCCAGAAAGTTGGAACATCCATATCCTCCTGCCTTTAAGGAAAAGCATAGGGAATCAACTGTCCTAAATCCACGTTCCAACGTTCTGGTTTCACTGTAGGGTTTTAAGGTAGGGTTGCAGATTCAGAGTTCAGGGTCAAAGACTTGGGCTTGTCGGGTTTAGGGAGAAACCCGCCCCTGCTTGGGTCTGTGAGTACAGATCTGGCCTCGTATGGACGTAGGATGTAGGTTTTAGTTTAGGAGTCAAGATCAAGGTTGTGGGTTTTGCGATCTTGTGAAGCAGGATGACGGCATGTACGCCCTTGCTGTGATCGACTGGCTGGTTGCCCAGCACAACCAGCTCGTGCAGATCGTCGCAGGAGCTTCTCTCTTGGTGCCTTCAGCAGGGTTTAGGGTTTAGGGTTTACGCGTATTCGAGGTTTGAACAATCATATCCAAAGGGTCAGTGTTAGTTCATCTACGGATCAGGCCTGCAGACTCGGCTGTAGCTAAGATGTTCCGGAACCTTCATGCTAAGCTCCTCAGCCGCTGAAGAATGGCGTAGAACCTGCCTGCAGCAATCCAAAGCCTTGCAAGCGAACAGACCGGAGAGTTCTGTTTGCCTGATGTGTCCCGGGGTCTTGCGCTAGGTAGATGTAATTCACATCCAACACAAAATCGCGGGCCGATTTCATGTTGTGACTTCGAGAGCTTGAAGTGCCGAGGTTCGGGGATCATCCGCGCCTACCGGGGTTTGTCCACGTTTGAAATCCAATGTCTCATGTCTGCAACTTTCAGACTCGGACCCTATACCCGAACCCGTATACCCTGGCACTTTCAAGCCCGAAACCTACGACCCCTTCAGCGTAGAGCTTAAACCTCACGCCTTTAGCCCTCTCTAACGCTTGTGTCGAGACAGAACCCCGAAGTTGAACCAGTGAGATTTCGCAGGAACGCTGGGCTACCCAGCAAGGAAGGTGTCATCCAGATTACTGGCGCAGCATGACGCCTCCTGCCTCGGATGAGGGGTTTAGGGTTTAGGGTCGAGGCGCCCCCGCCACGCTGAGGGTGTTACTAAACGCTACACCCTAAAAGTTGTAAACGGGCCAGCGAAGGAAGCCTCACAGCAAGGGTTTGGCCTTCGCAAGTTGTGGTGTAGACTTCAGAAAAGTATATCATCTCTGGCTCATCACCCTTGTCGAAACAGCCCCATGCTCTGCTTCTGACACGGTTTAGGGTTCAGTTTAAGGTGCAAGCTTGAATTTTCTCAGAATATGCAAAGCGGTCGTGTTCCCTCTCTCAAGCCAGAATCCCTCTGCGACGCGTGTGCACCAGCCTCCCAAGCTAAACCGATCTCCACACAGCTCAGGTGATCAAAAACAGCTTTCAAGCCCTAAACACTAGACCCGAAACCCTCAACCTGAAACCCTTAAGGCCCTGAGCCCTAAACCACCGTCAGCGAACCTTAAACCCTACAGGCCTTAAGCCGTACCTAGACCCCAAAGAACCTACTTTTTTCTGGGCCTATATATAGGAAATCATAATAAGGAACTTAAGGGTCCAGGCAAAGCCCTAAACCCTAAACCCCTAAACCCTAAATCACCCTCAACCCTACCACCTGAAGGCCGGAAGCCCAAAACCCCGAAACTCAGATCCAACACACCTCCCCTAACCCCGAAGCCCTGAACCCCAAAGGCCCTGTCAGGGAATCCCTTAAAGGATCCCCTGTAGGATCCCTTAGATAGAATCTCTTCAGGGTAGTGTATAGGGCTCTATAAGAGGATCCCCTTTGAGGTTTGAGGGGAGTATAGGGTGTTTATACGAGGATCCCCTTTTCGGGTAGTATAGGATTTTTATAGTAGGCTCCCCTCTAAAAGCCCTAAACCCTAAACCCTAATCCCTAAACCCTAAACCCTAAACCCTAAGCCGTTTAGTAGGCTTCAACAGCCGAAGCCCTAAAAACCAAACCACAGGTCATCAAGTACAGCAAGCATGAGCTCATGCGCTACCTGACCAGCCGATGTGCCACTTGGGGCTGCTTTGCTGCGATCAGCCACAGAGGGTGTAGGCTTCATGCATTTTAGGAGTTTAGGGTTTCAGGGTTTAGGATGGTTTCGGGTAGGATGGTTTCGGGTTTTGGGTTTAGGAAGATATCGGATCAAACTTCAGGGGGCTAAATCTGAGATCGCAGACTTCACCAGGGCTTTTAGGTTTGGGGCTTTGGGTTCAAAGGCTAAGGAATCCAACAATTTTGAGGTGCAGAGCTAAGGGTTTGAGGGGGCTCCTCGCCTTTGGTTCCTTGCGCTCCAACGCTGTCCCAACCCCGATTCCTATGCTGTACTTGGGTCATGGGTAGCTATAAGTAGGGTTATAACATCCCTAATATGGGTTATAACTTTAGTTACCCTACTTCTACCCCCACTTATAACTACCCATGAACCTCCAAGTACTGCTTCATAGTGGCCTTGGTGACCTGATGCTCTAAGGTTAGAAGTATGGGCCCCTAATATGGACCCTTAGGCCTTTCTAGGGACCCTTTCAGGGTAAACATATGGTATATAGTAGGTGTATAAAGGTCCCAGGATTAAGGGCCCATACTAGCGGCCCATGTGTTCAACCCTAAAGTAAAGCCATGTTACCCAAAACCCTAAACCCTAAACCCTAAACCCTAAACCCTAAACCCTAAACCCCAACCCCTAAACCCGAAGCCTTGAGCCCCAAAGCAGGCTCTGGAGCTCGGCTTTGAATGGCCTGAAGGCCCCCCAAAAAGTCGTCATTCCTCAGGGCTTTGGGTTTAGGGTTTGGGGCTTAGGGCTTTGGGTTTAGGGTTTAGCGTTTAGGGTTTAGGGTTTAGGATGGATATGCAAAGCCTTGTTAAAGATTCAGGCGTCGGCGGCAAGTTGAACTTAGACCTCAAGCAGATGGAGTCCCACCTCCGGCGGGAGCTGAGTAGGCGTGGCGGGATTGGAACGGTTTAGGGTTTAGGGGAACCGTAAGCTTTCGGGTCTTGATGTTCAGTTAGGGGTTTGGGTGTGGGGTTTAGGGTTTGTGGTTTTGGGATTGATGTTTAGGTAGGGGTTTGGGTGTGGGTTCAGGGTTTGTGGTTTTGGGATTGATGTTTAGCTAGGGGTTTGGGTGTGGGGTTTAGGGTTTGTGGTTTTGGGATGTTTGGTTAGGGGTTTGGGTGTGGGTTTAGGGTTTGTGGCTTTGGGGTAAGGGTTTGGGTTTGAGGGCTTGGGGCAGTTGAGGCCAGCATTCCGGGGTACTGCAGGTTAGAGATCTTAGAGCCCTAAACCCTAAACCCTAAACCCTAAATCTTAATATTCCGAAAGGCCAAACGACCCTGAGCCGGTTCAGGGGCTGAGGCCAAGAATCTAGCAGGCGGACTCATATATGAATGTATATAGGAACGGAGCCAAGGAGCCCTGAACAACCAAAACCCTACCTGGACCCGAAAGAACCTCCTTTTTTCGGGTTCCGTATCATGATTTCTTTATATAAGCCCGAAACCCTGAACCCTAAGCCCTAAACCCTAGACTCAACTCGATATTTGAGGCAGAAACGCCCGAACGCCAGGACCGTAAGCCGAAACCCCCCAAGCTTGGCAACCATGGGGCCCTTGATTCAACTCCAAGAGTCGGACCGTTGAGTGTAGAGCTACATATAGTGTCATCTAGGGGCCTGAATAGTTTCCAATATTTTTTCTGGGGGTTCCTTATTGCCAATGTGGTGTAATGGACCCCAAAACCCTATTCTAATGATTAAGGCCTCTATATGATAGCGCCATCACTACATACTCAATACTCAAGCCGTAGTAGAAGTACTGAGTACGGGTCACAAAAGCGGAGCCAAAAGCCACCGTCACAAACACAAGAGAAAAGCCCGAGCGCATGATTTCGTAAAGGTATGAGGAAATAGACCAACAAATACGACAATTCATATAGGGGCTTTTTTTACCTATGCAATTGTTGGGGTTCCTTCTTATACATATTGTATAATATACCCCCAAACCCGTTTCTAATGATTAAGGCCCGTACATTAGTGCAATGAGCAATGTCAACCACTCAAAACCTGACACCTGGGCCAAATGCCCCAAACCCCAGACCAGAAAAGCCCGAAGTCCTCACGCCATATTTGGCGGCCGATAGCCCTAAACCCTAAACCCCTAAAATCGTAAACCCTGAACCTAAATGCCGAGCCACCAACCCTCAAACCTTGAGACCCAGAACCCCCTAGCCGCTCTGACCGCAATCCATAAACCATATCTCTGACATTCTGAGGCCTAAGACCGGACAGGGTGTAGGGTTTAGGGCTTTGGGGGTTTAGGGTTTAGGGCTTTAGGAGTTTAAGGCTTAGGGGTTCAGGTTTTAGGGGTTTAGGGTTTAGGGTTTAGGGATTTAGGGTTTGGGCGTTTTGGGGTTTTAGGGGTTTGGGGCAGCTTGAGACCCCTGGAGCTCCTTGAAGCCACCAGGTCCGAGAACCCGAAAGCCGGGAGCCCCAAAATCCCCCCAAAAAAACGTAGACGTAGGGTTTAGGGTTTAGGGGTTTAGGGTTTAGGGTTTAGGGGTTTCGGGTTTAGGGTTTAGGGTAGATCCGAAAGCCTGAATCCTTAACCCTAAACGGGGCTTTGGAGTACCATACTTGAATACTTTGTTTGGGGACCTGTTCCTAAAGGAACCATTATGAAATAAAAGTCTATACATTTTGGTCCCTGGTTACTTCAAAGCCCAGTAAACCCCTAAACCCTAAACCACAAACCCCCAAACTCACAAACCCCCAACCCCGTAAGCCTAAACCCTAAAACCCCAAACCTCTAAACCCCTAAATTACTACACCCTAAACCCCTAAGCCCTAAACCCTGAAGCCCCTAAACCTTGTCGGAGGCCTGAGGTCACGATCGAGATGCGAGGCTTCCAGTGGCTCGGAGAGTCCTTCTCTGCCGGCGGCGAGCTTCGATCGGTGCCTCGGCTGATAGGTTTAGGGTTACAGAAAATTATAGTGGTGCACAATCGTAGGTAGCGTGCTGTTCTTTCGTGGAGTGGATTATGTTCTAAAATAGTATTATGCTGCAATTCTCAGTGCCGCTTCTTTTTTGGATCTGTCTATCAAGGTGGTGGGGGGTGGAGTGGGGTGTTTGGGCTTTGAGGACCGTGGCTTCAGAGTTTCAGGTTTGGGGAGGCTTCGTGGTGGAAGGTGTGCAGCTGGGGTTTAGGGTTTAGGGTGTAGGGGGTGATGGTAGTGGGGAGGGCAAGAATCTGTCATGTCCTGCTGGCACATAGGCTTTTTGCTGAGTTAGGCCCAAAGTCGCAGTCGCGGAAAAGTAATTCAGCTCCATCAGAAAAGCCCAACCTAAATTCTAGCGTTCTTGGTCAGTGGCCCCACATGGGGAGCCCTATTTCAATAAACTCCGCCCATCTGACCCACTAGCCGGCCACAGGTCATCAAGCAGCGAGACCTCCTTCCAGACAACATCGACCGGCTAAAGTCAGAGATCCCATCTCCAGCCATTGCCAATACTTGCTTGCAGAAGGCTGGACCGATTAGGGTTTAGGGTTCAGGGATTAGGATTTAGGATTTGGGGTTTAGGGTTCAGGGTTTAGGGAATCCTCTTGAGTCGAACGGCTGGACGTCGTCGAAGCAGGCGCAGGTGATTCGGCCGCGGCGTTAGGGATTGGGAGGTTTGAGGGTTATGGTTTAGCATCCCGAAGCCCTGAACCCCTAAGTTCTCCAGTAGTACCCTTTTGACCTTTTTCTTTTTGGGGGCTCCCTTATGGAAACCAAATAGTAGGAAAAAGGGTACCCTTATTATTACGGGGGTACTGGGAAACTTAGACCCTAAACCACAAACCCTAAACACTTCTGTTCTGGGCGTAGAGATGTTCGGCCGGTGCGGGGCCTCAAACCTTCAAAGCTTGACAGTAGGTTTCAGCAGGGTCTTGGAGGGTTGGGGTTGACGGAGAATGCGGTGCAGCTCTCGACATTCACTGTGCTCTACTTCTATGAGGATGTCATTCGAGTTTAGGATTTAGGGCTTAGGGTTTGGGGTTTAGGATTTACCTGGGCCCAGAAAAGCCACACTCTCAGGGATTTGAACCCTAAACCCTAAACCCTAACCCGAAAGGAAATCTGAACAAGGAGCCTTAAGAAGATTGGTGGAAGTCTCAACACCAAGGGCAGCTCAAGCTGTAGCCCCAAACCTTGAAGCCCCAACGCTTAAACCCTACCCTAAACTACCGGAACCTACATTTTTGTAGGTTCTGGCTGTATAGACTCCATCATTAGCGACCCTCCAAAATAAAGGGTTCGGATTGTTTGAGCCAGAAAGGCCTTAAACAGTAGAAGCGAAGGCCCTAAACCCAAGCAAAAGCCCCCTAAACCCTAAACCCTAAACCCTAAACCCTAAGTCGTGGCCACCTGACAGGTAGAGATGGCGATCGCGTTTATCCTGAAGTCCGGTAGCAGTCTTGGAACCGAGAAGTCAGGCGCTTTGGGATCCCTAGGATTCCAGATCTCCAGAGAGTTTAGGGTTTAGGGCTTAGGGCTTGGGGTTTAGGGTTTAGGGCTTAGGGTTATCGGGTTAAGGCTTTAGGGCTTAGGGCTTAGGGCTGAGGGCTTAGGGTTATCGGGTTAAGGGTTTAGGGTTTAGGGTTTAGGGTTCCAGGTTTCAGACTTGTTCAGATTTGAATTCGGTTTGGGTGTGGGGGATCGGGATAGAGGCCTGCAGCTTAAACGGTTTCCGCAGCCTACACAGTAAACCCAAACGCCAAAACCCTAAACCCTGAAGCAAACCCTAAGCCTAAACCCCTACAGGGTTTGGGAGTCTTATGTTTTTGAGTGCTCGGGTATGGAGAGCAGCTCGGGCTCCTGTGCTTCAGGTGTCAGATTGGCTTCGGATTCAGCGTATCCCTTCTTGGGTTAAGCCTAAACCCGTAGATCCTACAGTCCTGGGTTTAGGGGTTTCATTTTTTGAGGTTTAGGGTTTAGGGATGTTTAGGGCTTTGGGTTTGGAGTTTGGAAGGCGTGAGACCATCGAAGTTTGAGGACTTCCATGTCGGGTTTGATTCCAAGATTATCAAGCACAGACTTTTTTGCAGGAACCGTAGATGCAGGTTGTATTGCAGCCCGGGTTATCTCGACATTGAAGAACTGCAGCAATTCTGTGGGCTCGTTGAAGATGGGTCTACGGCATATCGGGGTGCATACTTGTATAATATCAGTACCCTACAAACCCTAAACCCTAAATCCTGCACCCTAAACTCTGCACATTCAGCCCCTGAGATCCCGCAGCTGAAACCTGAAATCCAAAACCCTCAGGCTTGCAACCCAAACTTAGCGCAGGAAACTTGATGCTTCCATTACTTACATATCTTACAGACTGGGTTTTGGGTTTTGGGTTTAGGGTTGTGGGACTGGCCCAACACAGCAGCGTAGCGGATCTAAATCCCAAAGCCACAGGAGAGATGCTCCTCGCAGACTACATGCGGTCCGTCCTAGCAGAGAGCTCGGCGCCCAGCCTGTTTGTGTCTTGAACATCTCGGCGTTGCCTCCGCGCGCGGTGTGAGATGATTGGCTTAGATTGTGAGGAGGGGCCCTAAACCCTCAACCCTAAACCCTAAACCCTAAACCTAAACCCTGAACCCCTAAACCCCTAAACCCCTAAACCCCTAAACCCCTAAAACTAAACCCTAAACCGAAGGGGGTTCATGTGACTTCGGGGCGTTAGGGGACAGGCCTGATGCCCAGAGCACGGATTCCTGAGCCCACTGCCTTCCGGGCGTAGGGTTTAGGGTCTATAGATGTTCAGGGTCTAGGGTTTAGGGGTTTAGGGTCTAGGGTTTAGGGTTCAGGATGTGTGGACTGTTAAGCTCTACACCTGCTCAGAACTTTTGGTCCGTTCCATTCCCTACCCTTCGCCACCCGCCCTTCCGAAAGCAACAACATTCGGAGAGATGCCTAACACACACCCCTTCCAAAAGCACAGCCAAAGAAACAAGAAATTAAGAGCCACTGCCCGAAATCCTGCGCCCTAGACTCGCACCACGCCCCCTCAAACTGAAGAAGTATAAGACGTTAAGAGCCACTGCGTCAGGTCCGGAGTCCTTTATGGGAACCGGAGCCTGCGCCGATGTGCGCCTCTGGCACGTAGACTCCTACGTTCGCATCCTGAAGCAGGTCGTGAACAAGGACCGGCTGAGAGTTCAAGGTTTAGGGTATGTTCAGGGTTACCACGAGTGTTACTGCGATGATTTAAGGGGCGTATATAACGCTTAGTCTTCAGCAGTATCCCCGTATAGTCCCTGTGTGAAAATACGAAAGTATACACCCCAAACTCTACTCTGATTATTCAGGCCCAAACAGTACTTGGGGCTCATGCCGTTTTTTTAGGGTCTATGCGCATGGGGTTTGGCCTAGGCTTCAAACGCTAACAGCACTGAGTCCTAGAAGATAAGCTCGCAACTGTTGGTGCCTGTTTCAACACCTTCGTACACGAACTGTCAATGCCTTCAAGAGCTTTACAGGTGAATACAGTCCGTACAGCATACCTAGTTCACTTCGCCTCCTTCACTTCATTTCACCTCACCTCACCTCACCCTATGTAAGTCTTTTCGCCTCGCGTCACTTCGCTTCACACACAAGTGGAAGAATGCAGAAGAAAGTTCTGAAGGCTGTCACGTCGAGCCTGAAGATCTTCCCACATCAGTTCAATTGCAGTTCCGAGGGTAGGACGATGCAAATGCGGGATACTGAGGGAAATTTTACGACGAATCAAAAGCCCTAAGTCCACCCTCCACGAATGTCAACAAACTCGAACATGAATTTAGTGGTTATCGGATGCTGCATACTTTACACACGCATGACGACAAACATGCGTCGGCACTTCGGCGTGCGCTTGGAAGACGTAAGAGACCGAATGCTTGCAACCACAACACCCTAAGGGTCCAAAGGACCCAATAATCGGGTACTTAGGTTTCGGATAGAGTTATGTACTTGGAACCTTAGGGACATACCCTAAACCCTAAACCCTAAACCACCACTGTTGCAGGATCCTTTGGACAGCATCGATCCTAAGCACCCCAGCTGAACATGAGAAAGGCGGCAGTTCTGAGGTTTGGGATGGTCTCTTCTTTTCTGAGGTTTGGGGTTTAGGGTTTGGGGTTTAGGGGTAATGTAGGGGCCTAAATAATTATCAATACTATTGGGGAGGGGTCCTTATTATAGGTATAGTATCATGGGCCCCAAAACGCTATTCTAATCATTAAGGCCCCTACATTAGGGTCTACTGCACGAACTCGTCTTGGCCCATCTGTCGGCGGCGGGTGTTTGCTTGTACTTCCGAGTGTGGCTGACTTCGTAGACACCGCAGCTGTTGGACCACAACTGTATACCCCAAACCCGAGCTGATGGTGCACTGCCCCCCCCCTCCCAACATGTGCCATGGGTTCTGTTCTTGCTGGCTGATTCCCTAAACCCTAAACCCTAATGTGACTTGGCTGAGGTACAAGGAAGATCTACCAAAGGAGAGCCGAGTTTTCTCCTGCCGCTGTTTTGACGGTTGCTGGATTAGGGTTTAGAGTTTAGGGTTTTCGGTGTCTCAGATTCTAAGCCTACTGTGGGAGTGAGGCACTGGGAATAGCGAACTTGCGGGTCAGGAAGATGTCTGCGTTTCCAAACCCTACCTAAAGCTCGTCGTAGCTAGTAGCGGGGTAAGTGACCTTTAGCTTTAGCCTATGTCGGTGTGTTCGTGCTAACAGAATCCCCAAGACTAGTCTTGGCTTCCCTTTCAAAGCTGGACAAAGAGGCGTGAGCGTGCCCCAGAATCCTGCGACGGAACCATTGGGTTTATGTGCAAGCAAGGCGCCTAAGTCCTCATGGCCTATCTGGCGACGCCCGGACTGGCACCAATGCAAAGCAACCCGCGAAAGAGCACCCAGGGCAGAGAGTTCAGAGTTCAGGGTTTATCCGATTATTGAAACACCAAACCCTAAACCCCAAACCCCTCAACCCGAGACCCGAAACCCTAAACTCTAAACCGTGAACCGCAGAGAAGTCAACACTCCGAGTCCTAGCACCCTGAGGGTCCATGTACCCGAACAGTAGATACTTTGGTCCCAAAGTATCTATGAAGGGTTTAGGGTGTATAGGCTTTAAGGCCAATGCACATACAAGATGGGTACATGGACCCTTAGGGGCCCTAAACCCTAAACCCTAAACCCTAGACCCTAAACCCTAAACCCTAAACCCTAAACCCTAAACCCTAAACCCTGAACCCGAAGCATCTTGGAGCTCAATATTGAGACCTGAGGCCCTGAATCCGCTTCTCAAAACGCTTAGGGGTTTAGGGCTTTTGGGTTTGGGGTTTTGTAATTTTAGGGTTTTGGTTTTTAGGGTTTGATAAATTTCGGGGTAGGGTTTGATAAATTTAGGGGTAGGGTTTAATAAGTTTAGGGCTTTGTAAGTTTAGGGTTTAGGCGTTTGGGGTTTAGGAGTATAGAACCCTTGGTCAAGCGGCACATTGGGCTCCATGAACCCTGATATAAAGCCCTAAGCCTCCCGATAAGACCTTCACTCAGGAACTCGAGAACCCTGCATCAAGTGCTAACAGCTAAACCCTAAAGTCCTTACAAACCCTGTAGGAAGCTTGACGGATCATGGGAGCTCGTAACGAGGGTTCATGTTCTGGAAAAGTATAGTCATAATTGCCTGTCACCCCAATTTTTGGGTGTTAAAGCCTGACTCACTACGTCGCATGATCCTCCAAAGGGTCTTGGACAGGAGCCTCATCGATCCTTAACCCTGTAGTCCTCACAAGCCCGATTTGAGGGTTTCCGAAAATAGGGGACCATAATATAGCACCCTAACTAATAGGATCCTTATTGTAAGGACCCCAAAATAAGGTACCCAAATTTTCGGAAAGTCCCACTTGGGCAGGAGCTCGAGCAGAAGCTCGTGGCAGTCAAAGACGAGCTGCCAGACCAACTCGTAGATCTGCGCCTCGGCAAAAGAAATGGTTTAGATAGGGTGTAGAAGTTTAGGGCTTACTTGGAGGTTCATGGGTAATTATAAGTGGGGTTATAAGTACGGTAATGTAGGGTAACTCTAGTTACAACCCATATTAGGGGATGTATAACCCTACTTATAACTACCCATGAACCTCCAACTAGGCTTTACGGCTAGGGCTGGTGAGGGCTTATAAAATTCTGAGTTGGGGTTCAGAGGGTTTTAGGGCCTTACGGAGTGAAGGAGCATTCACAAGAGCTTGAACGTGAACTCCGACGTCGGAAAATCTGAAGCGCAGCTGTTCAACCTGTCTGTTAATCCCAAACCTGAACAGCTCCTCAGCCTTCGATCCTCGAACTTCCGTGAACCCTAAACCCCTAATCTATAATCCCTATACTTCCGAAGCCATAAACCCTCAACCCCATAAGCCGCATGAACCCTGAACCCTAAGTCGCTTCAAGTTGAAGCGATTGCGACCGGACTCATCCCTAAGGGTCCAAGTACCTCATTATTGGACCCTAAACCCTAAACCCTAAACCCTAAACCGTTTGAACCCTTGGGGCATGGGGGGCCATCTCGGCTCAGCTGATGGGCGCCTCCGCAGCAAAGTTAGACGTAACGGACGATGACGGCGTCGACCTTGGCCCACCCGAGGCCTTGGCCCTTGGGCCCTTCTTGGGCAAAGTCTGCTACTTGAAACCAGGCCGGTCTTGAGCATTAGGCTTTGGGGTTTAGGGTTTA